TAAACAGTCACGATGTAGACAATTTAAAACAATTTTTTCTTAAAAAATGACTGTGATAGAAGCAAACTCATTGGCTAATTCTTAAGAACAAATTGACAATATAAAAATTTTCTGAACAATTTCCTAAAAAGAAGATCTATGTTGTGAAAACTCTCATAGATAGACTACTTTTCCAAAATAACAGAATGGTTTGAACATTCTCAAAAAACAATTTTTGAAGGAAAAGCCGAGACGTGGACACATTCGCTGACCATATTTTTGAAAAGAACAACCCCGATTAGGACATTTTCATAGACCCCCTCCTTGAAAGAAGAACCTTGATATGGCGCAATTGAACAGACTACTTCCTCAAAAGAAGACCTGCGAAAATTTTGATAGACTACTTTTTCCTAGAAACTCTCATTCATAATTTCTTTGAAAGAAAAACAATGATTTGGAAGTTTCAAAGAAAATTTTTTCTGAATAAGAACCTTAATAAGACCATTCATAGACCACCTTTCCAAAAGAACGATCGCGTTGTGGACATTTTTGTGGACTAATTTTTCCAAAGAAAAGCCATGATGTGTGATGGAAACTCTTATAAACTATTTTTCGAAAAGAAGAGCCAGGATAAAAACACTCTCATAGATTTTTTCTTATTTAGAAAAAAAGAACCAGGATGTGGACATAGTCCAAGAAAATTGTTCAAACAAAGCAGCCATGATGTGGAAATTTTCAAAAACTCTTTTTTTTTGGAAAGAAGAACCGTGATAGGGGCTATTTTCTATGCTAGTTATTTCAAAAATGTCACAATTGGAACAATCTCATCGATTACTTATTAAAAATATTCAAGATATGGCCACCTATGTGGATTTTTTTTCAGAAGAGGAACCTTGGTTTTGAATCTCTACATAATTACTGTTTCATGGGAGCGGCCAACATATGGACACCTTCGCACAATACTTTCGAATACGCGGATGCTCTCATAAATCCATGATGCCGATACTCTCATAAATCCATGATGTGGATACTCTCATAAATTAGTTAATGAAATAAGAGTCAAGATTTGATCTCTTTCCTAGACAGTTTTTAAACAAGAGCCTAGATATGGATACTATCTGCTCTCATAATCTACCATGCAAAAGAAGAGCAATCATATGAACACTCTCCGTGACCACTTTTTTAAAAAAGAAGAGCCATGATGTGGAAACTTTCAAAGACTGTTTTTTCAAAAAAATCCTTGATATGGGACTATTTCATATATTAATTCCTCAAAACAAGAGCCACGGTGTGAAAATTTTTATAGGCCACCATTTCAAACAAAAAACCAGAATGTGGTAATTCTCATTTACTTTTTTCAGATTGGAGCCATGTTGTGAATTTTCTCTAAACTGCTTCACCGAAAGAAGAGCCGAGATATGGACGCTTTCGAAGTCTACACTTTTAAATGAGGAGCCAAGGTAGGGTTGAAGAAAAACAGCCTTGAAATAAACAATTTCGCAGAATTATGATTCTAAAGAAGAGCCGTATCGTTTTCAGAGACTGTTTATTCAAAAAGAGAGCCACAATGGCAAAGCTTAAGCTAAAGAGGGCCTCAATGAGTAGCCATGGTGTAAAAATTTTTATAAACTATCTTTTAAAAAGAAGAACTATGTTGTGGTAACCCTCATAAACTAACTTTGGTCAAAAACAGAATGGTATGAACACTCTCATAGAGTACTTTTTCGAAAGAAGAGCCGATACATGGACACTCTCTGAACAACTAGTTTTTTGAAAAGAACAACCATGATCTTCACTTTTTCAAAGACTCCTTCTTCGGAAAAAAGAACCTTGATATTGAAAGAAGAGCCTTGATATGGGCATTTCGAATCTTTATTTTTTGAAAAAAGAACCGTGATTAAAGCTTTTTCATAAAAAAAATTTTCGAAAAAAAACAACCACAAAAGAAACAATCTAACAGACTAGTTTCGAAAAAATGTGCCCAAGATATGGTCATTCTCGTGAACTTATCTTAGAGAAGAAGAACCTTGTTATGAAATCTTAAATAAACTACCTTTTCATAGGAAGGGCCTAGATATGGACATTTTCATCATTTTTTTAAATAGAAAAGCCATGATGTAGATGCCGCCATAGATTAATATATGAGCAAATAGCTAAAATTTTGACACTCAGGTACAGTTTTTTAAGAAAAGCCGAAATATGGACAAACTCTACAATCTACACTCATAGCTTACTATATCAAGAGAACAGCCATGGTCGGGACACTTTAATTGACTGTTCTTTCCGAAAATAAACCATGTTGTGGGAACTGTCAATGATTAATTGTTCATAGAGAGAGCCATGATGTGAGTACTCTCAGGCATAAAGTGCTTTTTTGAATGTAGAGCCCAGAAAAAAAAGACTTTGTTTTAAAAAAAAACAAGATTTAAGATTTTTTAGAGCAAAAACTTTGATAAAATTACTCTCATGGAATGCTTTTTCAAACAATTTTTCCCGATGTAGACTAAATTTTCTAAAGAAGAAATGTAGTGTGGTATCTTTCCAAAAGTTTTATCGAAAAGAAAATCCATGATAAGAACATTCTCAAAAGCTCTTTTTTTTGAAAGAGCCAAGATATGAGCTTTCTCCCAGAACAAATTTTGACTAATTATTCAAAAAAAATAGCAACAATGTAAACAATCTCACATAACATTTTTCGAAAATATATGTATCTAAGGGCCATATTATGGACATATTTTTATCCTAGTTTTTGAATACAAAAAACTTGACTTGAATACTCTAAAAGAAAAGATTATAAAATAAGATGCAAGATTTGGAAACTCTAGTAGACAATTTTGTTTAAAAAACAGCCCAGCTAAGGCTAATCTCTACTCACCATGTTGTAAAAATTTTTATAGACTACCCTTTCGAAAGGAGAACCATGAGGTGGGAACTCTCAACAAACAATTTTCCAAACGAACAGCCATGATGTTTACTCTTTTGAAGACTCCTTCATCAAAAATACAATTCTGATAAAGGGTACTTTTATAGACTATTTCATGGCAAGAAAATTGACAATGGGGACACTTTCTTAGACAAATTTTCAAAAAAAACATGATGTCTGAGCTCTCGTATATTATTTTTTCAAACAAAAAGCCATGAAATGGAAACTCTATTTGAAATGTTTGAATTGAGTCAAGTTATGGACACTTTATTAGAGTATTTTCAAGAAAGAGCCTAATTATGGTTACTTTCTACTCTCATAGACTACTATTTCAAAAGATGAGCCATGATATTAACGTTTTCATAAACTACCTTTAAAAGAAACCACATTGTAGAATACCTTTGTAAAAGAAAAACCAATTTCTCGAAAAAATGTTCAAAAACAAGACAAGTTCAAAAGCAAAACCTTGATATGGAAACACCAATAGACTACTTTTTCATAAGGGCCCAGATATGGAAGCTCTCCTTCAATACTTTTTGAATACAAAAGCCTTTTTGGATACATGCTGTGGGAGTTTTAAAGCGGTCTTTTCTCCCGGTTCTGCCTTACAATCCCTACCCTGGCTTGACCATCCTGGCAAAAAGAAAAAAGAAAAAAGTGGAAAACAATTCAAATTTTTGCTGTAACCAAATGTAAAACACAATTTAGCAATTGGAACGTTCTTGTTTTGAATATTTATGTTCAACATTTTGGAAAATTCAGGCTCTTACTCATAAATAAATACAATATATTATAAAACGTTACAACCCATTATAATTTAGATTTTTGTAGAGACAGATCATGAAAATCTATGATAATTAATAACTATCTAGGGAACCTCATTGCGGGAAGGATTCAATTTACCTATTTAAAAAAATAAAACATATTGCTCGATAATTATCTCAAATTGAATTATGGCTAAAGTTGTCTCAAATTCAAGTTCCGATAGAAACAAATGTGCTAAATTTAAAAAAGAAGTTTGACATTTATTACTAACCCCAATCGAGAAGGTTCTAGAACCCTTCGCAAATAAGGATACTCTAATTTCAATTAGTTTTATTCAGTTTTCCTTGCACATCCTCTCCAGACGATGAATTTAGCTGTGATATTTAAGAAACTCGTGTTCGCGAGATGTTCTTGTTTCAATTAGGGCTTTCTCTTGTTTTGTCTTTTTTTTTCACCTTCAAAGAAATGATAAGCCTCTTGAAATGAAGCGGTTCAAAACAGCAAGAAGCCATTATAGATTCTCTGCTGTGTTTTTCAGGTTGAATAAATATCGAAACAACAGAAACCTAATGGCATTTTGCTTTTAAATACATTCCATTTTCAGTTCAATTATGTCTTTGAAAATCTCTTAAGTACTTTAGAAAACAAAGATAAGAAAAAATACGACGGACTATCGCAATATTCAGCCAAGTTTTTTCCAGAACCTTCAAAATTGAATCAGTTGGCCTTCCCGACGATGTCTTATTAAAATGGTTCTTTGTGTTACTTGGCAACGAAGAAAAAAACTATTTAGAAAGACATGTTTGGGTTTGGAGGGGGGATTGCTGTGAAAGGATAATGATTGAAAAAGAGTAGCTATCGGTCCATTTTCGGCAGGTATACCAATCAGCAGTTGGAGCATGCCACTTTCCTCTAGCAGTTTAATTGCCCTTTCTTTACAAAGAAAAAAAAAACAAATAAACAAACAACAAAAAACGCAAACGAAAAATCTTTCCAAAGCATCACAGCTCATATTGGATTTCCGTTATTTTTTTTACCCCAATTTATTATTTGATTCCCATTGCGTTCGCCAGAAAACGTTTTGAATTGGACTTAGCATTTGAATCGGAAAACTTGCTTCAAAAACAAACACAAAATAATAAAGGGTCGTTTTGTCGCCTCAATTATAACTTGGTGGTAACTCGGCCATGTTTTAAAATCTCTTCTGATTTCCTGTGGGTTTCAGGAAATATTTTGTCAATTGAATGCATTAAAAGACTTCACCGAAAAAATTGCTTTTTGTTTATTCCTATGAGGAAAAGTGGAATGTATATGCTTTCACTCAATGCGAAACCTGCATAGTAAAACGACTTCTATGGCATAAAAAAAAACGGAATGCATAAAAAAATTGACGAAACGGCCGCGCATAGCAATTGGCCGCCACTGAGTAGCCCGTATATATTATTTGTTGAATTGAGCGGAAAATGAGAAATAAACATACTCGTTTGATATAAATCAACAAAACTGCCCTTTTTGGTTAAACAGGGACGAAAAAAGGAAATTATACAAAAACCTTACCATGGAAAAATTTTCTTCGTTTTTGTTGTCCCATTAATTAGTGCCCGCATTAGTTCATTATAACGTATTTGGGTCAATTTATAACTCAATCTGTACAAAATGGTATATCCTGGCTTAGTTTCCTCCAGAGCTAGATAAAAGAAAGTATACCCCAATAAAAGTCCCAATTGGACCCTGTTTTATCATCGACAATTCCTGTAGATTACAAGAGAATTTTATTCCGAAATTATTTATCTAAAACTACATTTCCTTGAGCAGAAAAAATTATACGATCACATCCACAAAACCATAAAACTTGCATTGTATTTCCTTAGAAGTTGTTATATAATCATAGATGGTGCCAATTAGCGTTTTAACTCACACAGAAAAATGTTTGGCGATAATTTTGGCAAAAGTTTAGCGCCAAAAGTTACCGAACTTTTAATAGTCTTCATGTCGATTTCAGTGTTTCAAATGTCAAGTCACCTCCCAGGTGTTCTTTGCGATTCTTCTTTTAATTGCAGTTCCTCGACTGTTTACGACCCTACAAGTCAGACTAAAAATGCAGACGGTCAAAATTACGATCAAAATTACATTTTCTACTTAAATAGTCAAAACTTTCCTTCTCACTACTTTCCGATGACAAATTGCATGTACACCATAAATGTTCCTGAAAACTTCAAAGTAGTTATTGAGTTCTTACATTTCGATGTCGAGGAACCAACTAAACTCGGAGTTTGTGAATTCGACAAGCTCTCTTTAATCCTCAGCTCGGACCAAGTTTTCGAATTTTGTGGCAACCAGAGTTCCAGTTTGGAAAACTTCGTTTTCATATTAACTGATTCTGAAATAGCGCTGAAGTTCCAAAGTGATGCTAGTGAACAATTCTCTGGATTTAACATCCGAGTTTCCTATTACCCAATCCATAAAAATGTCAAGTTTGTTTTTGACAGAAAGACTGAAGCTAACGGGACTTTGCAAAGTCCGAACGCATTAGCGGGCCAACCATTTCTGCCGGAAAATATTGAATGGACAGCCGACTTGACAGTTCCAGAATCCAAATGCATTTACATGCATTTCAGCCCCCTAGCGACAATTTTGAATTCAAACATTTCGTTAAATTCAAGCTACAACATGTCCACCGGCGAAGCATGTTCAGTTAGGTACTCGTACACCACAGAAGTGGGATCAAAAATTTCGAACGAAGTGTGCTTTGAAAGTCTGGACATGATTACCATAGATATTCCACATCAGTCAGTTCATTTGTATTTCAGTACCCTTGTTAGCGCCAACGAATCGTGGGAAAGTAACCAAATTAACTTGCCTTCCTTTTTGGCTCATTACACCATTCATCAAAATGCGGCTTGTTTGAGCGAACAGTCCGAGAAGTTCTCGTTGAATATTGTCGGACTGTGGTTTATTGTGAGCATATCTTCGATTGTGGTCATCATCGTCTTTTCAATCCAGGGTTTCGTGAAGCACTGTGTCGAAAGCCGACAGTGTTGCTACAAATACAGGAACCGATTGACGGCGTCCCGTCGCAACAGCGCCTCAGTGGCCGGGACTCCCAAGTTCACCCGGCAGAAAAGAAGCGTCAACCACAGAGGTATAATTTGCATGCCAATAATCATGATTTTTCTAGTATTCTAGTCTTTTTACAGTTGAGAGAATTATTCAAAGCTAGCTCGATATCTATTGACGCACCAATTTTATTAATTATAAAAGCATATATTTGGTAACTTTCAAATGATTTTTGAACAGACTTCCATTGATCGCTAGGAGAAGAACAAAATTTCGGAGAAAAATTTTCAAAATAATTGTCGGCCATTTTTTCTAGGTGTGCCAAATTAGAATTATCAGCTTTTTCTCAACACAAAAAGAAAGCTATTTTTTTAAGAAAAAATCTGCCGGTGATTTTTGAAAAACCGAAAAAGAAAGCTTTTTTGAACACTTTTTGGCAGGTTTCGGCTATAATTGATTTTTGAAAATTTGGTCCTAAAGGCATTTTTAGAAGAATTTCTACAGTTCTTTGACCCAAAATGAGGGTCGTAAAATAGTTTAAAAACAAAGTAACCCTGATTAGTGAGGGTGTCAACTTATTTCGGATGGGGACATGGGGGTATTCTTTCTTCTAAAACTCGGCCGGAATATGCAGTGCCATATCCAAGGTTAAATAGCATGAAATGATTTCTGTGATTTGCGCCTCGGGTCAACCAATTGATCGATTATCTTACAGACCTCTGAAATCTAGAATGATAAATACCACCAAGAATATCTTTTTGCGCGAATTACCTTGTCTAGATGCGGACAACTAGGAGGTCGGTTCCCATGGAGAACCTTAATATTACACTCAGAGGCAAAGCGGAGCTTCCCACGCAATACTTGCGATACAATTAAAACATTGCATTACAAGATGTTGAATGGAAAAAAAGAAATGGAAAATATAAGCTGAAAAGATTATTTGAAAAAAATCAAAAGAACCTTTGCCTCGGATGAGGCTCATAAACAGAATTAGCTAGCTTAGAGAATCAGTGAACGATCGGCGAATAAAATTAGAAAAAAATATATCGACCCTTTTTAAGTCGAAACTGTAATAAAAAAAATTCAAAACCAAACTACAGAATTGTTTTCTGTTATTTTAAATTAAATACTACCTCAAAATGTACTAAGAGGTAGTTCATTTGAATTTTCAAGAAATTAAGCACGAAATTAAGCAGCAACAGAAACTGAGCAAGAAATTGAGCGGCAGAATTTGCAAGAAAAGTTGCTTGCAGGAATAAAATCTAGTTCCCGATTACAAGTCACTTGCTCTCACAAATAAAATAACAAAACTGTTTGTATATCAGGACAAAAATCTGATTGTTCCGACTGTCTTTTAACTGATCTAGAAGGGTTTTACTAGGGAAAACCTAAATAAACTTCAATTTTTTGCTTTGAAAAATTCAAATACTTAAGTGAAGTATTTGATACGCGTGAGAAATTAAAACGTGCCTTAAACGTGCAATCAATTTTTTAGTTAAGCTTTCAGCATCCTTTTGAGTTTTCAAACCGCGAATGAAATAGTCCAGAACTGTACAGTTTTCCAAAAAAGTGTTTTCCTGAATTTTATTTTTACATTTGAACTCAAAGAAGTTATATCTTCATTGGTAAATAAAAAAGGTTCGCTAAAAATATGATTTCGATCACTGAAAACATTTTGGATTAAAAATAAACACCATCTCGAGCATATTTGTGCGGTATTAAATTAAGAACACAAGTAAAAGAACTTGACGTTGTATTTGAAGTTAAGAGCAGTCAAACGAAGGGTAAAACAAAGCTGCTCGTAAAACAGGTCAAAGCTTTGGATGTCCCTTCTGCCCTCTATCGTCGATCAGATGCTTTTTGGAAACATATTTTTCAATTTTTCTACAGCATTTGAGAAAAATTGTTGTTTAGAGCTGAAATTCATAAAGCTATTTTACTTGTTATCATTTTTTTGCGAAGTTGCAATCTTTTGAATGAGGGACTGCTTTGACAATTTTTTGACTTAGGGACTACTTTGACAATGAATTCAAATTGGAACAAGACTGCTCGTATCAGGGCGAAGCCCTGAAAGTTCCGACCGCGTTTTAACGTTTATTTAGCAGTAATAACATAAACAACATAAAAAAAATTATATGAAATAAAATAAAATGAAAATTTTTTTTTTCTAAAATTTGAAAATTTTTCTATAAAAATCATCCCCTCACACGCCATATAAAGTACAAAACAATAGATTTCGCTCCTTGTAACAAATCAATTATGGCAAAAAAGTTTCTTCAACCAATTTGGAATGATTTCTAAGACGGATTAAATCTCCGCTTACGCGTTAATAGCGCGAATTATATTGCGCGTTAATTGTTCCAAATTGGTCAAAATGGCGGAAATGGCAATTTTTAAACCCTCATCTTTTTACAAAAACTGATCACAGGTGAAATATATATATATTTCAAATTTAGGCTCAGGACAACAATAGCTCTCGAATGATATTTAAAAAAATTCCGTCGAAAATAGCTAGTTAAAAAATCGAAATTTGTCAGAAGAAAAAAACCCACCCCGAGCACAATTATTCCGTTACTTTCGTATCGAAAGTCGAAACAATAAAAAACACGCGTTATAATTTGTTCTTATCACGAGAAAGCGGCGCGTTAACGTATTATCAAGTGTCGTAACGTTTTCTTAAGAGCAAATTGCTGGCCTCAGCCCAGTTTGAAAGGATTAAATATGCCCCTTACGTTTTATAGCAAAATATAAAAATGAATTATTTGAAAATTAACCCAAAGGCAACTTTTGGGCAATTTATGGACAATTTTGAAGAAAAATCGTGTTTATTGGGACAAGTTTTTCCACTCAAAATTGGTATAAATAGGCGCAGAAATAACATAGAAGAGTGTTCGATTAAAATAGATGGCATAAAAAAATCTCTCTTCATATTTTCTCTCTCAAAGTATCTATCTGAGATCCAATAATTTTTTCTGAAAAAAAAACTAAGTTATAAGACAAGTTGATGAACTTCTGGAAAAGATTTGGCGCGGAAAAGTAGAAGATTATTGGGCAAACTATATCCCCTCATTCCCCTCAAAATCAGTGCTATGAGTGCAAAAATAATCTTTTTTTTGCATGATCCGCTTACTGTCCTCGCAAATTACGGATGCTATGTTTTAGTACTTCTGCGATAAGATATCCATCTGAGCAAAGATTATGAATTAGCTTCCTTTCGAGTAAGGGTGATTTTGAAGGGTTACGTATAGGCTTTAGTGGGACTAGACAGGCCATATTTCCTTTGAATTAGAACCAGGGATATAGGGTGTAATTGGTGAAGTCTGAATAGCACAGATTCAGAGCTGTCCTGGGAGAGTTTGGAGTGGTTGATATATTTCCTAAATACGAAAGATTTAATTAACAAATTGGAAATTTATAAGCACCCCAGAGTTTTATCAATTATTATTCCAAGTGAACATAAGTGTACATCTGAACTCAAGGAGTCGAAACTGCCATTGATGTATTTGAAGTTTCCGTTGAAAACTTTTTTCATTCGCCGAAATAGTAGGAATAAAAATACCCTGATTGTAAGAACTCAGTTGACATTTTTGGAAACTCGGAACTATAACTTTTTACACCAATTTACGAAATAGTAGAAAATAGCAAGTATTGAGATCTAACTTGCATATCTCAGCAAATAACAATGAAGATTGTTCTAACTGTCTTTTTGAAAACGCTATATTTGAAGATGATTTTAATTTGAAAAGCATCATTTAAAGAACAAAGTGTTAGATTTTACACCTACTATTGCAGTAATTATGACAAATAGACTGTTTCAGCCAGTTTGTACCAACTTCTAAGACAGATTAAATCTCCTTCAAAAATGGCTAGTTAAAAACTCGAAATTTGTTTTGAGAAAAAAAAACCACCTCGAGCACAAATAATCCATCAATTTCTTGGAAAGTTGGAACAAAAAGACTGCTTTAATTAGGGCAAAGGTCTGATTGCCCTAAGTGTTCCTCAACGTTATTGAAAGAAATCGAAAATTTTCTGGATTTTATTTTCGATAAACTTTCCCCAAAAGCTACGTAAACTTACAAACAGGACTGCTCGTATATCAGGGCAAGACCTCGATTGTTCCGACTACCATCTATTGTCGATCAAAAGCTTTTAGATATAAAATCTTATCAAATGTTCCAAAAAATGTAAGAAAAATTTGAATATTTCAAAAAGTATATGTCAAGCCATGTACAGCTTAAGGCCTCAATTATAGCCGCTTACGCTTTAATATAAAAAATATATTGCGGGTTAATTCTTTCAATTTGACTTATAATCGCCAAAGTTATCCAAAACTCAAACCTTTATAATTCTGTGAAAAATGATCAGAGGTATAATATATAAATCGACGTTTGAGTTCCAAAAAATATCTTTCAGATGTATGAACAATGTTTGACAGAAATGGTTAGTTTAAAAGTAGAAAATTCACCAAAAAAACAATACGCAAAGCATAAAAATTCCGCATTTTTTTCAAATTTGGAAACAATAATAAGTTTAGCGCCTAGCAAGACCCAATATATAGTACTAACTATTTTGGCTCAATTCAGTTCGGATTTTTTAAGCTAAATTAATGAGCATTGACGTGTTTGATAGCACAAAGTTTATCGCTAGTTATTTGTTTGTAACTGGCAGTTTTACGGAAAAGAATGGCACGTAATTACAACAAATATTCACTAGAAAAATGTCTCGAAATAAGAATCTTCTAGACGGTATAAAAATTGGTTCGAAAAGCTACTATAAAATTCATGATTTGTTTTAAAACCACGACAGCTCTCATTTTTTTTAAAGATTCAGAGCATAAAATCATTTTTATTCCGCATTTCATGTTTCCGTTTCTCGTTTCTTCCATATTTCGTAAAACTTGCGCTTTGTTAGAAGTTTTTTCTTGAGGCTTATTTCCGGAAATCTATTTATTAAAAAAACATTCCTAATGAATATGACAAAATTTTTCATCTTTTAAATTATAAAAAAGTCTTCAATTCATTTTTCTCTGCGTATATAATGCGCGCAAATTGGCAATTTGTTTAACTTGGAATAACTAAGGAGCTG